TGGTGCTGAGGAATCGAACTCAGGGCCTCAGGCATGCAAGGCAAGCGCTCTACCACTGAGCCACCTTTCCAGCCCCGGGCATTATCTTTTTAAGAAACAAAAATCACTGATAATTAACTTTCCTTCATATGTAAAACAGTTTTAAAGGTATAAACTAGGTTTTTATGAGTCAATCAGTAAGTAGTGAAGACTACTGTAGCATTCAGCAACATGAATTAGATTTCTTGTTTTGAGCAAGGCTTCTTGCCAAGTCTGAATCAAAGAGGTAGTCACAAAGAGCACACTCTTCAGCTTGTGGTCTCATCGTATTTGCTTTGTGTGGAAAGGGGAGTGAACCACACACAGTTTTATTTTTCCAGCACATCCATACACACAAAGTATAATCACCTGTAATCTAAATAAGAAGATCCAGAAGTACTAAAGAATGTTCTAGTTCACAATAGCAGAATCAGTAGAAAACATCAAAGGTTGCTTCATTCCTAACATTTACTGTATTACTGTAGTTCTGCTAAACAGCACCCCTGTGCTAGTGCCTGCTGCCCACAGCCAGGAGATGGCATGCTTTAGCTTCATTTAAAAAAAAAACACTTGAGCTGAAGGACTAAGTTCATCAACAAAGGGACCTGGACCATAAGGAGGCAACCACAACACACGTATGTATAATATTAGGTTTTAAGTTTTGAGGCTCCATATTTAAAAAAAGTTATTTTGAACATAAATTTCAGCGTTCTCTTACTAAGGGTTGGGTTCTTCAGCATGCCTGAAAATTTTCCACATGTCCCCGTCAACACTCTGCCATTCCTTGTAACAACTATTTTAAATCTTTGTCAGGTTCTGTCTTCAGCTTTTCATTTTCCCTCTATAGATTTCTCTCAGCCATGAAAGATACTCAAATCTTTTCACATACACACACACAAACACACACCCCTCTATTTTTTCTTCCTTTCTGTTATAATGAACATATGTATTGAAAAATTCCCCACTGTGCTAAGTGCTAGTAAGTAGCTCATGCCTGTAATCCTGTAATCAGGATGAGGGCCTTGGTTTCAAGTTAGTCAAGGTGGGAAAGTGTGTGAAACTCTTATCTCCAATTAACTACCAAAAATCTGGAAATAGAGGTGCGGCTCAAGTGGCAGAGAGTCAGCTTCGAGCAAAAATAGCTAAGGAATAGCACCAATGCCCTGAATTGAAGCCCCAGTACTAGAAAAATAAAAAGTTAGTAAACAAATTCCTCACTGCACACAGTTCAGTATTTGTGTATGTGCAGGGGATGGTTTAGGTGGCTCTGATGTCTTATGTAGAAGTGCACAGGTGTTTAGGCAGCACTCTAATCAGGAAGCCAACACTCCAGAGGCAACGACTGTAAGTGCTCTGGTATTCCCTATCTTCATTTGATCTAGGTATGTGTTGGGGGGGTGGGGGGACGGGTTAAACCCCTGGACTCCTGAGCGCTAGTGCTCTTCTGTACTCAGATCCATCCCTAGCACTATTTTTGAGATTCTGTTCACTATACAATTAGGACTTAACTGGCGAAACCTGTGGCTTATTAAATAGCATGATGAATATTGAAAATGGGCTGTCACAAGCAAAATTAAGCAATATTTAAGATATGTAAATTGCCTAAATTGAGATATTTCATATCCTTTCATTAAGAGGGCATAAGAATCAGTTGGAGGTATACTTTTTCTCTTTAGGGAAGAACCTCCAGCTAATTGAACTAATCATTTTACATTAGAGGTTCTCAGGCATCATGGGAGTTCAAGTCACCTGGAAGACTAGTTAAAACAGATGGCTGGGCCTCAGTTTCAAGAGTTTCTGGCTCATGAAGTTTCGGGTAGTACTGAAAATAAGCATGGCTAGCAAGTCCCCAAGTGATGCTGCTGATTTTACTGGTCTAAGAGAACACATTTTGAGAGTTTTGAGTTCAGAATGGAGGTTGCCTGATGTTAGTTATAACAGAATTCCGTCTGCAAAGTACAGTACCATTGCTTCTGCCTTGGGAAAACCTTTCACTCAAATCTCACTATAAAGGTGTTAAGAGCTTTAATGAGTTTACCTCAGATTCTATGGCATATTTTGTGACTTTGTGAATAAACATTTTCTGTGGCTTTCTTCCCAACCTGTAGGCATCTCTTTTTCTTTCAGGTACTGGAGTTTGCATTCATGGCCTCATGCTTGATATATAGATGCTCCACCATTTGAGCCAGACCTCAATCTTTAGGCCTTTTATTTATTTTCCTATTTCAGTGGCTAGGATATAAAATATAGAAGCAAGGAAAAAGTATATCCTTGCCATGACCCTAATCTCAAAGATTTCTATGAATATATAAAATCTGGATGACCTTTGCCATTACATATGATGCATATAATACATACATACATACATATATATATATATATAACTTAATAGATTACCTGCTTAGCATACACCAATTGTAGTTTTAAGCCCCAGCACCTCAAAACAGAAAATTTCCAAAACACATATATAATTCTGATGAAGTATTTTAATATTATAGAGTCATAATTACCACTAAAAATCTTAGACTGCTCCATACATCACATTTATAGTAACAATAAAAATACTTTAAAAAGTCGGGCACCAGTGGCTCACGCCTGTAATCCTAGCTACTCAGGAGGCTGAGATCTGAGAATCTCAGTTCAAAGCTAGTCTGGGCAGGAAAGTCTGTAAGACTCTTATCTCCAACAAACCACTAGAAAACCGGAAGTGGCACTGTGACTCAAGTGGTAGAGTGCTAACCTTGAGCTGAAGAGTTGAGGGACAGCACCCAAGCCCAGAGTTCAAGCCCCATGACCAACCAAAAAAACAAAACAAAAATTTAAAACGTCTTAGACTGATACAATGAGTTTTCTGAGATATATCGAATCATTAGGAGGAAGAATAAATAATAAATATATGCTTTATAGATTATAAATAATTTGGTATCTGAGATTGTTCCATTTATTCAAAAGATGTGTTCTGCATATACTGCTTGTAAATAACATTTCAACTTTATAACACTAAAAAGAACACCTGGTTGGAATAAATAAAATTTCAAGCACTTTGAAAAAACAAAATCCCCCTCTGTGGCAAGGATACACCCATATTAACTCCATAAATATTCCATATTTAGGCTTTTAATACTGGATTTTTTTTCAAAATGAAGAATATCCTGGACTTGATTAGATCAAAAATTTTAAAGTTGGACTGGGAATGTGGCACAGTGGTAGAATGCTTACCTACCATGCATGAAGACCTGGGTTTGATTCCTCAGTACCACATAAACAGAAAAAGCTTGAAGTGGTGCTGTGGCTCAAGTGGTAGAGTGCTAGCCTTGGGCAAAAGAAGCTCAGGGACAGTGCCTGGGCTCTGAGTTCAAGCTCCAAGACTGCCAAAAAAAAACCCAAAAACCCAAACCTTAAAAGTTCACTAACACTTTTATAAGTGGTATATATAGCTTGTTATTAAGAGGCTTTTCAGAAAAGTAGGAAGTGAAAAGGACTTACTATTATTTTCTTACAATCCTTTCCTCTGCATAGTTCTGTATAGGTAGAATATTGCACATATATAATCCAGCTTCCAACAAAAACAGCCAGCCAGGAAAAGAAGAGATACTTCATCCGCACATATGAGAATCGAGCCTGTGAGTAAAGAGCAAGTGATGGTCATTCATTCAACACCATTTTGTCACAATCCCTTCTCTGCAATAAAGCATATATACTTCTGTTCCTAACCCGGGAGTAACCAGTATACACACAGCAGCTCTAGGACAAAGTGCACTTTCATAGATCCAAACAACACCCGCCTTAGAAAGGTCCTGCCAAGGAAAAACAGGGAACAAAATATTCTCTAAGTTGTATAACCTTTCAAGTACACCACCATCAAAAGTTACTTATTAAACATAAGCACGTTCACTGGTCATCGTGTAAGATCAGATAACAAGAGGTGCAACTTATTAGAAGTTTACAATTACTGTTTTAGATAATCATGATTAAGTATTTTTATTTGTTGATTTAATTTTTTTGGTCATGGGGCCTGAACTCTGGGCCTGAGCACTATCCCTCAGCTCTTCAGCTCAAGGCTAGCACCCTACCACTTGAGCCAAAGCGCCACTTCCAGCTTTTTCTGCTTATGTGGTGCTGAGGAATCGAATCCAGGGCTTCAAGCATGAAAGGCAAGCACTCTACCACTGAGCCACCTTCCCAGCCCCTGATTAAGTATTTTTATTTTTTTCTTTTTTTTTTGGATCCGGTCGTGGGGCCTGAACTCTGGGCCTGAGTGCTGTCCCTCAGCTCTTTCAGCTCAAGGCTAGCACTCTACCACTTGAGCCACAGTGCCACTTCCGGCTTTTTTCTTTTTGCTTATGTGGTGCTGAGGAATCGAACCCAGGGCCTCAGGCATGCAAGGCAAGCGCTCTACCACTGAGCCAACTTCCCAGCCCTGATTAAGTATTTTTAAAGAGAGTGGCATATGCTTATAATCTTAGCTACAGGACAGTCAGAAATTGGAAGAATTCCAATTGAAGGGCAGTCCATGTGAAGGTTAGAGAGACCCTATCTCAAACTACAAGTCAGGTATGAGAGTTCATACTCATGTCCCAGCTTTGAGGAAGGCACAGGTAGAAGATTGGCCCTGGGAAAAAAATGTAAGACCCTATCTTAAAAGAAAAGAAAGGGGGCTGGAAGGTGGCTCAGTGGTAGAGTGCTTGCCTTGCATGCATGAGGCCCTGGGTTCGATTCCTCAGCACCACATAAGCAGAAAAAGCTGGAAGTGGTACTGTGGCTCAAGTGGTAGAGTGCTAGCCTTGAGCTGAAGAGCTGAGGGACAGCACCCAGGCCCAGAGTTCAGGCCCCAAGACCAACAAAAAAGAAAAAGAAAAATAGAAAAGAAAGGAGGCTGGGAAGGTGGCTCAGTGGTACAGTGCTTGCCTTGCATGCATGAGGCTCTGGGTCGATTCCTCAGCACCACATAAGTAGAAAAAGCCGGAAGTGGCACTCTGGCTCAAGTGGTAGAGAGCTAGCCTTGAGCTGAAGAACTAAGGCTCAGTACCCAGGCCCAGAATTCAAGCCCCATGACCAAAAAAGAAAGAGAAAAAGGGAGGGAGGGAGGGAGGGAGGGAGAGAGGGAGGGAGGGAAGGAAGGAAGGAAGAAAGGAAGGAGGGAGGGAGGGAGGCAGGCAGGCAAAAGAAAGAATGGAAGAATGAAAGAAAAACAAAGAAAAAGAAAAGAAAGACAAAACAAACACTGGGGCCATTGCCTCATTCCTATAATCCTAACTACTCAGGCTGAGATCTTAAGATTATAGTTCAAAGTCAGCCCAAGCAGGAAAGTCCTTGAGACTTTTATCTCTAATTAAGCACCAAACCACCCACCCAAGAAATGGAGCTGTGACTCAAGAGTGCCACACTTGAGCACAGAAGCTCAGAGACAGCACAGAAGCTCTAAGTTCAAACCCCAGGACCAATGCACATGCACAAAAAAAGAAAAAAAAGACTGAAGCAAAATGTAAGTAGCAGAGTTAAATCCCTAGTGCCAGAAAAAAAAGAATAAGAACAGATCTAGTTATGTATCTAATATCTCATGGGCAAACAGAATAAGAGATTGAAGTCCACGGTCATTCCTATATTCTTACTGTATTCTCCAGGGCTTTAGGTTCCTTCTGTTTAATCACTTACAGGTTTCACCTACTAGATATTGTGGAAACTGAGAGAAGGTCACAACTATGAAAAGAGAAATGGAGAGGAAGAAGTAAGCTATATTAACAATAAATTACTCCTTGCAGGTGTTCATGTCAAGCTAAACCACAGGAGACTCTGCACTGTTTTGCTCCAGGGCTTTGGTATCTAACTGCAACTTAGAATAGTGGGTGCCTTTTCTCCATCAACCCACATATCAAATAATTCAATCTTCAGAAGTGATATATGGTTAACATAATTGGACATTTATTTTCTAAGTCTGAAGCTTCAATGGTCTGACACAACAGTACGACAGAGGACTATGGAGAACTGAGCAAACACATTATAAAGATACATAAACAAACAAGGAAACACCAGTTCTGCTTGTGCAGTCACAAGCCAGTTTCTCACACTGGAAAACAGTGGGATTCTGTGAGCACTGAGAGCAGGCAAAGAAAGCAGAGAGAGCCGTAAGTGCACCTGCAGAAGCTATGAGCGCAAAGGAAAGAGGCTCAGGAAATAGCGAATTCTGTTGGCTCTCTTCACTGTTCAAATATCTGTCTTTGTGCAGTTGGTGACTCTTAGTGTGGATGGTGATGCCTAGTACCAAAAGCTCAGTACAGTAAATGCAGTAACATGAGAAGTCCTTGAGGCTTATTATTAAAATTTAAAAGGGCCTTTAATGTAAAGTGTTTTTATACCTTTCTAAATGAATTCATAAAAAAATGCAGAAAGAATTCCATATTAAATCATGTAAATGATAATGGGATACATGCTAAGGGATTTGTTTGAAAGAGTTTTAAAGTTACCTGGCCCTAACATGAGATCTCGTCTCCAGACACAAACTACTATGTAAAAGTATTATGAAATTAAATGACACAGTGCTGGAGGACAGAGCACACTGCTGGGTTCACAGTAAATACTTTGCAAGTCACTGAGCAAGAGATCAACAAAGCTGTCATTGGCCACTACCTTCTTTCTGGACTTGCCAAAAAGAAAACTGAATCTGAATCTGATCAAGCCTTTCCTGCAATTCGTGATTTACAGGAAAGAGCAGAATCAGACCAAGGAACAAGAGGGGCAGTGAGTGACATGAGGAAGCAGACACCAGGCTGTGGGGAATACTGGAACAAAAACAACCCTGTCAACCCTGTCTCTTCAACAAATAAAGTATGGGGGAAAAGCACAGCAGAATCTGTTTGTTTGTTTGTTAGTGGGGCTTGAACTAAGAGCCTGGGCACTGTCCCTGAGCTTTTATCAATCAAACCTAGTGCTCTACCACTTGAGCCACAGAGCCACTTCCAGTTTTCTGTTGGTTAGTTGGTAATTAAGAGTCTCATAGCCTTTCTTGCCCGGTCTGGCTTCGAACTGTGACCCTGAAATCTCAGCCTCCTGAGTATAGTTAGAATTACAGGTGTAAATCACTGGTGCCCAGTTAGCAGAAATTTATGGATTAGGAAATAGAAAACTGCCAGGTGCTGGTGACTCATGCCTATAATCCTAGCTACTCAGGAGGCTGAGATCTGAGGATGAAGGTTCAAAGCCAGCCCCAGCAGAAAAGTCCGTGAGACTCTTATCTCCAATTAACTCCCAGAAAATCGGAAATGGTGCTGTGGCTCAAGTGGTAGAGCTCTGGCTTTGAGCTGAAGAGCTAAGGGGCAGCATGATAGGAAACAAGGATATGAAAAGATTAATTTTTGAGGTGTGGGAATAGTTCTGTGGTAATATTTAAGTATTTTGCTTTGCCCCCATCCCAGTGAGCTACATTTCTCTTCTTTCTCTGACATAACATTAAATTGAAAAATACCCTGCGAGAGCCTGGTCCGATAAGTGCCAAAGTTTTTGCAGAGGATGCTCCAGGCATTTTGTAGATACACACACAGAAAGAAGAACACCCATTTTTACTCCAGCGTGCCATGGGAAACAGCTGTGATGTGGGGAAACACAAAACAGTAGAAGGACCTTCATGTGTCCTTTAAGATCTACAGATTCTGTAGCCTTACATCTTAAAATGACAGAAGAAAGAAATTGCCATAAATGACATCTATAACTATGGCCTAATTTTTCCCCCCAGGATGTCACTGGCTAAAATGTTTCTAGTGGTCTGTTCTATACCAATTATAGAGGTAATCTAGTCTTTGGTTACCAAATGTGGTCTGACATACTTGTTTATGTTAAACTGTCTAAAATTACTGCCTAGCAGCTTCTTTACTCTGCTGATTTTGTGCCTGGATACTAACAGAACATAGCTTTATTCCAAATTATGCTTCTAAAAATCATGACAATAGTTTCAGTAAATCCACTAGAGCAGTAATTGTTAACTGGAGTCAATTTTGTCTCCTAAATGTGCAGATGGCCATGTCTGGAGACAATTTTTGTTCCATAACTGGGGATTACTACTGGAATCTTGTGGGTAGAGTCAGGAGACACTGCTAAATTTCCAACAATATGTGTAATAGTTTTCCATAACAAAGCATTGCCAGCCCCATGTGTCCACTGTATATGACACTGTTAGTTTATTTTAAACTAGCCTTTAATGTGTAAACTAGCAGTAATTAAGAAAATATTGTCACATCTGTCTAGAACTAACATATAATTGTTTATGAGTAAATTACCAATCTTTTGTTGTAAATAAAATTCACTGGGGATACAATATATGTACAATGAAAACAAATTTTTTCTGTCAATCTCACTTGAAAGACTGGCAGCAATTTTTCTTCTTTTCAAGTATTGCCCAGCTGGGCACGAGTGGCTCATGCCTGTAATCTTAGCTACTCAGTACATTAAGCACCCAGGCCCAGAGTTCAGGCCCCACGACCGGACCCAAAAAAACAAAACTAAAAATCTTTAATCTTGTTTACATAATTTTACAGGGTTTAAGGGTATGGCTCAAAGTTGGTAAAATGCCTGCTTATTAGCAAATACAAGGCCTGAGTTCAAATGCCAACTCTAGTACTGAAACAACCTATAATTTTATAGAATTTTGTTTTTTGTTTTGTTTTGCCAATCATGGGGCTTGAACTCAGGACCTGGGCATTGTTCCGGAGCTTCTTTCTTTTTTTTGGGGG